TGAAAATTTTTTGTTGTTGTGAGTAAGCGAGCAACTATGAGCATCATACCTACTCAAAAGGTCTATGTTCCTTTCCTCCTACTTTAGATGTTGCTATCTCACCATTGATTTGGTAAGAAGCCCCATCATTGGATGTGAAGGGACGGGCGTGGGACGTTTGTATAGTCATAAAAGGCAACCTATAAGATGTTTAGCAATTTTCGTTTAGGGACTAGATCGTTTATTGAAGGCAACATCGAGGGTCATCGAGGGACTACGATCTTTTATCAAGGGTCTTTGCTAAAACACCCATATTCGAGGGACATGACTATTTTTCTGAGGCAATAAGTGAGATTACCCTATGGGTGCATGTGTACGAATAATGTGTTTGATTTGAATGCATTTAGTCTTTAATTAGGGCGATCTACTTGTTGGTTTTATCTTGCCATACATCCTAATTACTAACATTTGTACAAAAGTAATAAAAATGCAGAAAATGAATCCTACACTATTACAACCATATTGAATAGCAAGAAGATGTAAAGACAAAATAAAATAAAGAAAGAAAAATGGTCTTTTTGATTCAGGCAACAAAACTCTTTGATTCTTCCCTTCCTGGCTTCCTTCGATTTAGGCATGAAATCATTAAGGATACGCCTTTCAATCTCATCCTTTTCCTGCTTCTTTTGATTGGGGCCTGGAATCAACGTGAGGTGTACTCTTTGCTTCAAGCTCCTTGTTGCCTTCTTCAATTGCAGGGATGCTAGGCTCTCAGGTTTAGATTCGAAAGGCTTGAATATTCAGCCAATCGAAGGATACATAGAACCTATTTTAAACTTTTTAAAATGAAACATTCAAGTGTACATTTCGAAAGCTACATGCCAGGGGTTAGCACAAGATTATTGGGCATCAAAATCCAAAGTATAACTAGTCAGGGTTGAGACTTTCAACATATAGGCAGTCATGATCGAAAGTTAAAGCATGGTCAAACTCCCTAGATGATATATCTACATTTTATTTTTTATTGGTATGTACACATGATATTTAAATGAAAGAGTTCCAAATTTAGAGAGAACTTACCTCTTGAAGCGCTTAAATTGAAGGAACTGCAAGTGACTTCCTTGGTGGTAAATGGGACGTCACTGGAATCTTCTTGAAGATAGTTCAGTTACTACTTTGTTTGAGCGGTTACTGAATTGAAGGAGGGTATGTAATAGTGGTGAGTGAATCGAAGGTTACTTTACAACAGGTAAGGGAGTGAATCAAAAGACTATTATATTGCAAATGAGGAATGGGTCGAAGGTTGGTTATATGACAGTTTGAGGAGTGAATCGAAGGGTTCACTTAGTGTATAAAGGGGTCTCAGTTTTGTAGAACTGAGGTGTTAGGAATATTTAAGAACATTTGATAGTGTTTGAGAGACTCGAGAAATTGATAACTTTCTCACAACAAGAGTTTTTTGCAACTATCACGGGGGCCCAAGATGCGTGATGGAGGCTCATATTTATAGATGATTTTGGCTGATGTTTAGGAGGGAAAATAAAAGAAATTTAAACAAAAGGGTATGATGTTCTTGTAGTCTTCGAGGTGCAGTCTTGTATGCCACTTTGGTGCAAGAATGGGGCAGCATTACAGGACTGCTTTGTAGCAGTTTTGGAGTGTTATGGCCAGTATAGCAGGCCTGTACTTGGGAGCACAAAGGACTTTGGTCAGCAAGCATCTTTGGATTATTTCAACCTTTCGTTTCGACCACCTTAGTCCAAATCCTTCTTCAAACAATATTATTTGATTTTCATCCAACAAGTGTCTTTCGAATGGGTCATATGCATATCTTTGAAAGGGCCAAATATATTTCCTTCGATTGGACCATATGCATCATTTGTGTGCACATTTGCAATTCTTCGAATGGGCCACCAAGACATGTTTTTCGAATGGGACACCCAGACATGTCTTTCGAATGGGACACCCATACATGTCTTTTGAATGGGACAGCCATTATATTCCATAGTGTAGGAATTATGTGTGATCGAAATAGATTATTTCCAAAGGAAATATTGCCCATTCGAAGGTAGCGTGAAAAATGGCCCATGCTTTGTGGGCACCATTGCCTTTTGGATGCTAGCCATGGGGAAGCCTTTTCCTTATGCATACTGTCCTGAAGGGAATCCTGGCTTTTGTGAATCAAAGGAAGCATGCAAAGGGGAAATGGCTTCTGAATCGAAAGGAAGCTGCAGGAGGCCATTGCCTTGTGCCTTCTGGCCTGAAGAAGGTCCTTGCCTTGTGAATTTTGAGCAACCATAAAGAAGGCATTTGTCTTCTGAATTGAAGGACATCAACAAGAGGCTTTTCCTCTTTGAATTGAAAGAGTCCATAAGGGGTTTCTTTTCCTTGTGTCTGTTGGCTTGGTGAGAGCCTTTTGCTTTGAAGCATGCAAGAAGGAAACTACTGCTCAATCGAAGGCTGTATGCAGCCAACCATTACTTTATGAATCAAAGCAAGCATGGAGAGAATTATTTGTCCAATCAATACAGGCATCAAATATCCAATTGAAGTAGGCATGCAGGCCACCATTGCATTGTGAACCATGTGAGGCCAATGGTGCATTCAAAGCTTGCATGTAGGAGGTAAAGGGCACAATCAAAGGAAACTAGAAAGTAGGCCTTTGACTTGTGAATTGAAGGAAGCCAAACAAGAGGCCTTTGCCTTGTGCCCGCTGGCCTAAAAAATCTAGTATGAAGCTCATTTCCTTCTGAATTGAAGGAATCTAACAAAGAGGTTATTTTCTTCTGAATTAAAGGAGGCTAGCATGAAGGTCTTCTCCTTCTGAATTGAATGAAGCTAACAAAGAGGTCATTTCCTTCTGAATCGAAGGAAGCTTTTTTAGAAGGTCATTTCCTTCTGAATCGAAAGAAGCTAGAAAAGGGAATTCAAGTCCAATCAAAGCTGACTTGAATCAAAGCAAACTTGTTTTTCTCCAATTTTGTCAAAAACTCAAATTTATCTACTTTTCTCTTTCAATGGTTTCCTCTTTGACCTGATGCTTGGAAATCCAATATGATCCATAGAAATTATAAGGGCATTTAAAAAAAATCCAATTGTACTTGTGCAAACTTGAACTTTTTGAAAATCCTTGTGAGGAAATGTTTTGAGAAATGAGAGGGAAAATTTTAGGGAACAACAGAAGGCTTCCCCTAGATCATTGATGGTGCGGATATTGCTAATGTCCAAACTCATATACCACTTCAAAGCGGCACCAGTTAAACTATCCTAGAAGAAATGAATAAGCAAATGCTGATCATCAATATGGGTGGACATTTTTTGATATACATCACCAGGTGGTCATGAGGGCAAGAGTTTCCCTTGTACTTCTCAAATTCCAGAATTTTAAACTTTACTGGAACCTTTACATTGGGAATTAGGAAGAGTTCACTGACATTCTGTCCAAATAATTCTTTTCCTCGATGGGCCTTCATTTCCTTTAGCATCTAATTAAATTGATCCTGAAAATCATTTAATCATTTATAAAAACCCATAATTTCACTCCATGGAGGAACACGACGATAAACTTCATCATTAACAAACGACATAACATTCACTGTAGGAGGTGCAGTATATTGAATCTCATTTCTAGCCACAGGAGTAATATGCACCACGAGAGGCGCATGAGTAGCAGCAACTTGAGCAACTGGAGCAACATGGTAATCAAGATTGTAATCTTATGGCATGAAGTTTTCAGGCATTCCCCATGGGTAACCCTGAGGCATACGGTTATGTGCAGCAGTAACTGGAATAACAAAAATGGGAACTGATGGACCATCGGAAGTAACCGTTGTTTATTGTGGCTGAGCAGAAGGAGGAACAAGTGGTGGCTGATTCTGAGCAGCCACCAATGATTCTATCAAAGCAGTTGTAATACCCCAAAATTTTCCTACCCTTCTATAAGGATCGTCTGACTTATGCTTTTCATAAATTTCATTTGCATACTTTTACGTTAGGTCATCTAACGCATCATGAATCATTGACCAATAAATTTAGCATTGGGATCAAGGAAACATGAAAATTAGGGTTCCCTTATTTCTTTGAATCTCTCATCTTCATCAATAGGGTTTGGCTGTGTAATCATCATGGGTTTCTCTCTCTCTCTCTCTCTCTCTCTCTCTCTCTCAACATATGGGATTTATTCTTCGTAAGAGGAATGGTCCCTTTATTACTTATGGTACAAGACATTAAATTGGACTTTATTCAAGATTCTTGAACTCATATGTGGAATTCTCGTTGAATCAAGGATCAGGATGCATTTTAATTATGCTTGCGGATATCAATGGGTTTCAAAGTTTGTTAAGTTATATGAGGTTTATTTCAATACAATCAGAATTTCATTGGTTTGTATCGATTTAAGTTTAGTTTCATCAAAGTTATTTGGTTTCCAAGTTGTCAATTTGGTTTTTGCAAAGATTGGAGGCATGGCGGGATTGGAGCATCATTTCAAGGTTAAAAGTTTTGACTAAGCTCTTTATTGGAACTTGCTGAGCTTTAATCTTTTCATCATTGGTATTCATATAGATGCAAAAATTGAAGAAAAGCTAGGAAATTCAAAAGAGGCATAACAGAGGGAAAATAGAAAATTTTGAATTTGATTTGGGAAAGGATTACAAAGTCATATTCCAAGTGCATTGCAATATCCAAATACGTCACATTACACTAAGGAAGTTACAAGAAAATGTTGTTGTGATCAAAGTTAAATGGATTCCTAAAAACTAACTTTTTGATCCAATCTTCAAGATTCCACTTCAGCTTCAGTCCGATCCTCAATAGTAAAAAATTCTTCATGTGCAAGAATGTCATGCTTTGCTAAATGTGACCTCATGTCTCATGATCTTCCTCCTTGGCCTACATCCTGACAAATACCATGACAGACTAAGCTTAAAACAAACAATACAAAACAGGTGCATATACAAAGTTATAACATGTCAAAGCATACCTTCACTTACTATACACTAAAATGGGCCCATAAACTATGCCTAGAGCAGCCCTGCTATGAAAAACCAAAAGACAACCAATTGGGCATCACAAACCAAAGGTAACAAACCTGCAACAATGAAAGCATATTCCATATGTAAGTTGCAGCCAAGATAAATCGAACGAATCCAAGCGTAAATCGCATTTGCACCATATTATTACAGCCATAATATGCTAACCTGCAAGAAAGCAACCATGCCCTGCATACTAATCACAGAAAAATCATGAAGTGGAAACAAAACCAGTTGAAATTTCCAGCAAAAAACAAATAACAGAACAGGAACAAAATCTTTACTAACCAAAATCCTAACCGTCAAAAGACCAAAAATGACAGAACAATTAATGAAATTGGTAGTTAACCACCAACTAACTTGACCCGCTGAGTCGCTCAACCTAACTTTTAACTTCCCTAAACTAACATTAACAGATTTTCAAATTTCCTAACTGTTACTAACAAACCATGACATAATTTAACTCTTAACTATCAACACGGAGTCAGCCCTGTCCATAACCCCGCTAACTCTTGCCAACCATCTTCCAACTGTTTCTAACAGAACCCATCTAACTAATTCCAACTAACCATAAAAAGTTTTCTGATTGTTTCTAACTTCCCCTAACTTTTTCCCTAACTCCTTCAAAGACCCTTAACTTTTTCCCTAACAGTTTCCAACCTCTCAACAAACTAACCAAAAACCTAACTGTCCGTAACAGAAAGATCTCCAAAACATAATTCCAACTAACTTATAATCGACAAGCAACAAACTAATTTGCAACAGCTCCTAACAGAGTAACAGAATCCCAGCTGATTTCATAACCAACTAATTGTGACCAAACCATAAATAACCAACAAAATTCAATAGAAGGGTTTAATAGAAAAACTAACAGAAAAACTAACAGAGTCCTAACAAACTTCTCAATAGAATTCAGAATAGAAAAAAGGATATAACAGATGACAGAATAATAGGAGGGGGGTAAGATTCACGACTAAAAAACTCCGATAAAGTTTATTGATTGAATTTAAGAAAAAAAAACTCACCATGATTCTGGATCTTTCTCCTCCCCGACTCCAGAACCTTTTCTTCATCTTTATCAACCTTCACCATTCTAAACCACCTCCAAATTCTCTGAACGCACCACTTCCTCTTCACCATTTTCTCTGCACCTTCCTCGCATCACTCTATCACCGATACTCCCCTTTCTCTGCTTCATCACAGAACAAGCATCATCATCAATAAATCATCTTCATTTGTCTGCTTCATCTTCTTTAATCTTCAACCTGCAATAACAACACCAACACGTTAACATCGATATCATCATCATCTTCGTTTCTACTTCAATACGAATCAGAGAATGAAAATGTAGAAGAAGAGGAGTGGAAAGAAGAAGGAAAGGCGAGAAGAGAACAAGCTTACCTTGGTTCCCTGGATGTCACTGAAGACATTGCCCCGTCGCCACTAGAGAGGTAAGTGGTTCACCACCGCTCCCCCGTTGCTTGTTATCACGTTGTAGCATTCGGCATCACAAATTATTCCCCCATGATTGTAGCTCTTTATTACGTTTTATCGGTGTTTGATTCATATTTTCAGTGTTAGGATTCTGTTGTACCCCAAAATTTTCCCTCTCATTTTACTCAACACATGCCCATTGAGGTCCTCAACTTGCTTAAGGATGCCCAAGAGTTTACCAAACAAACTCTCTCCTAAGGCAATGTACCTCAAACTAGGGTTTCCATTTTCAATAGGGTGTGGGAACTCCAAAGGTCCCAAATGCCTTCCATGGTCCCAATATGTTCTCAAGATAATCCATGTCAAGTTTCATGCCTTGCACAAGAAGTTTGCCCAGTCAATTGCCCAGATGCCTAAAAATCAACTATACTAGATCAAAAGTCAACTAGGGCCCACATACAGTCAAACTTCAAGATTTTTGGTCAACATCCTCATTTTGAAGTATTATTCATCATTTGATCAAGGGTTGATCATGAATCCTTAAGGATTGCTCACAATTCATCAAAACCTAAGAGTTGCTAAATTAGGATTTTATAGGAAAAGTAAACTCAACTTTGACTAAGCATAACATTCTCATATTTTATAATAAATGACCCATCCAAAGCTCATTTTGAAGACGATGCAATTCCTTACAATTCATCTTCATCTCCCAAGTTCAGAATATGCACTCAAAAAACGATATGAATTTTGACATTATAGGTCCTTTTGAAAAGTCAACAAAAACACCTTTTGGGTCAAAGCTTCATACATGGACATGAAAGACTCAATTGAGATGAGACCAAAAGGTTTGTTTAGAGGAAATCCTAAGCTTTTCTAAAAATTCCAAGAACACCTCTCTAGGGTCAAAATTGAGAGAGTTATGCATTGGCCAAGTTGACCATTTTTGTAAAATTGCCAAAAGTCAAATATGCTCAAATTTGCATTTTTTGCTAAATGGGCCAAACTTTTTATGCTTGCACCTCAAATATAATGTGGTCCACGACCCAAATGTTCTCTCACTCATTATGTGCATCATTTTTCAATTTATTGTGATTTTTTATTAATTAAAAATTGAATTAAATCAAATAAATGATGAAAATTATCAAAGATATGATTTGATTTGTTTTTTTTACAGATTGGAAATCAAGATATGCTAAGCTTACATGATCAATTCGAATCAAGGGCAATTGGTACAAAAAGAGCATGATTGGCATGAAAATAGAAAGATATCATATGGCTTAAAGATCAAATATTCCATTCATGAATTCTCAAGATTTGATCCAAGTTTGTTAACCTAATTCATTCTAGGTTATATAATGAAGCTTGGAAGATCAAAAAACAAGGGTTAGAAGTCTTGAGAAGTGCTGAACAAAACTGAAAAATCCAAAGAAAAGTGGGAGACAAATCTTCTTCCACTGCCCAATTCAAGGTGTGTTGAGGTTCCCAATTGCTTGCTAGACATCCCAGGAAGCTATTCCAATCACTCCCAGGTCTTGAAACACCCAGAATCACACCTTACAGGCACCACGAGTTATACCTACAGTAAAAGTCTGTAGGTAAAAGTCTTGTTTGCTCAAATGACGGTTCAAGGAAGGAGACGATGGCGTGGCAGCGTGTGACTCGTCTGTTTGAATTTCACGCGTTTTGAAATCAGATATTTGCTTTTCTCATATTATATTTTATTATTATCATAGTTACAACTAACCATCATAGCTCAGCTGTCAAGCAAGTGTTGGAATTGAGTATAAGGACCTGGGTTCGATCCCCAGGTCCCAGCGTTCATTTATTTTATTTTCAGATAAGTGATCCAGCGCATCTTTCATCATGAGGCTCACCATGCTCCATCCACATCCAACCATCAGATTCATCAGCAAGCCAGATCCAACGTGTCAGCAAGGAAGGACCATGATATGCACTCAAGTCAACACCCCACCAAATCAAGCATGGTCAAACAGGCTGGGATTATTTGGGCAAAGAAAATCAGATTTGCACCCCCTGCATTTGCTAACACACAGGCCCATTCTCATTCTTTTTTATATTTTTTATTTCCTTATTTAATTATTTTGCTTAATTTATTTTTCTCATAAAAATTAATCATTTTTTATTTAATCATAAAAATCAACAAATCCCAAAATACCAAAAAAAGCATTTTTAAATAAATTATTTAATTTAATTAGGAATCTAGGTTAATTTAATTTCTTTTCTTACAATTAAAATCAATTAGAACAAACTAGGTTTAAATTCTTGATTTAATTATTTTTCTTTTTAAACAATAAAAATACAAAAAATAGGTTGTTTAGAATTAATTAATTTATTTTCAAAAATTAATATTAATTAGAACTTAGGATTTTCTTTTTAATTCAATTATTTCATTATTTTCTTAAATAACAAAGATGACAAGTAACTTTTTTTTTCAATCAATCGCAAGTAGGATTAGTCAAAGGGTCAAAACCCTAATCGCTTCGCATTTAATTCGCCACGCGCTTGTTATTTATTTTGTCAATATTTTGTAACTGCTCACTAGTTTGTAATAGTTAATTTAGGGCTTTTACTTATCGCTTTTCCCCGATTTTTTGGCTATGTAATTAATCCCCCTCCCCTAAGCCTTGTAAAAGCGTAGGTTTATTTTCTCACATTTTTAATTCTTGCAAATATTTAGCTGTCTAGATGTATGCTAATAGGATTGTATGGCAAGAATGCATGACAAAATTAAAATGGTTAGAAAACCCTAATGTGCAAAGATAAATAACTGAAACAAATCACTCGCACATATCACTATTAGGGTATACTCTCACTTCGGTTGCCTTCGGTAAACAATCATTAAGCATAGGGTGTCTTAGTGGTTTCCCTCCTATCTAAAAAGATCAAAAGACCCATTCGAATGTTGCCTCAGAAATGTTGCCTCGGAAATGTTACTTCGGAACGTTGCCTCGAATATGATCTTAAGACTCTAGGGTTACTACTAAGGTATCCTAATACTGCTTTAGTGATCGTACGTCCCTTTCAAATCGACTCTTACAAATTCCAACGACGGTGCTACCCATATCCCAATAGTGGGATAGTGCTGTCTAAAGGAAACAAGAACATAAACGATCTTTTTTCGAGTAAGTAGATTCTAGTAGGTACTTGCTCAAATCAAACTTTTCACACTTACACTTTTCAAACAAATTTTCGAAAACAACTTCGTCACACTCTTGAGCAATGATACAAGGGTTATCAGGAAGTAAAACATTTTCAAAACAAAGCACACAAACACAAGCAATTTAAAAATGAGCAAGTACCTAAGAGCCCATGGAAATCCATGGATAGAAAGGGTGCTAACACCTTCCCTTTCTATAATCTACCCCCCGTACTCAAAATCTCGAAAAAGGATTTTTTCTGTACTTTTTTCCTTTCCGGTTGGATGAGATAAAAGTCGATGGCGATTCTTGCTTACCGCGACATTTTGCAAACAAAAAACGCAAACTAGTATTAAACAGTCGGTTCTTCCACCGTATCACAGAACTGGCGACTTTGTTGGGGAATTATAAGTGGGGTATACCTTAGGATCTAGGTCATTTAAATTGCTTCTCTTGTTTTCTTTGTTTGCTTTATTTTTGAGGGTTTTGTTTGGGATTACTATAGATCCTACATCCAGATCTGGGGAATACCTTTTAGGTAAGTAGCAATAGACTGTGAGGGAACTGTACGGCGTAGACCGATGCGATTGAAGTAGTAGCTACAATAGTGTGGCACTTTGGTTGGTACCGGTATCCCTTGTGGTGAAACGAGGAGAATACGGGGTCGCTGCATGGTGCCGTGAAGCATCAACTGACCTTAGAACCTTTAATCGCCCAACCTGGCCATTAGAAAGTAGCGAGATAGCCGGCCTCGATGTAGAGCTGAGAACTGGTTGAATCTCGATGCTACACTCATTGAAACCAGACTTTCGGAATATTTTGGCTACAAGAAAAGATTGCGTGAGCTGAAACCATGACCGATGAAGGATGGTCAGTGATATTGAGATCCTCTAGAACCCGGTTACTTTTCTAGGACAGGTTTAAAACCAACTTAACTTCAAGAGGGTATTACCTTTGACCTCATGCAAGCCTTAAACCTAAGGGCTTTGTGTGATTTGACTGTGTTTGCAATGCCCGTGTTTGCTATACCTGTGGTTTATCATGACATTATGCATCATAACATGGCATCCATGCTTCATTACACTAACCATTTCAAAGACCAAGGGAATTTATCTTTGTTCTGTTTTGCAGATCATGGCTTCCGTGCATAAAAATACCATCCGAATCAGCTTTGTGCAGATACCTGTCCAACTTAAAGAGCTAGCATCAAGAGTTTCTGAAACTTCTACTTTCATTAAGAGACACGGTCAACTTCTTAGCCTGGTTACTTCAAACCTTGATGAACAGATGATGAGCGTACTTTTTCAGTTCTTCAATCCCAAGCATCACTGCTTCACCTTTCCAGATTACCAGTTGGTACCCACCTTGGAAGAATTCTCTCAGCTATTGGGCATATCCATTCTTGAACAGGTACCCTTCACAGGTATGGAAGAAGTTCCTAAGCCAAAAGTCATTGCCTCAACTTTGCATTTGAAACAGGCCGATGTGGTATCCAATTGGGAAACTCAAAGCGGAGTCGAGGGTTTTCTAGCCAAGTTTCTGATAGAC